CTATAATCGAAACTCTGTATCAACTCCAGCTCTGAGATCCCGGCTCACTGAAAGCAGGTTTCTGGGTGTTTTTTTTTAGCTTCTATATTTGTAACTATGTTTCAAACTGCCGGCTCAGAGGCCGGCAAGGCAGGTGGGGAACGTTGGTTTCCTCCGTCACTGAAGCAAGCAAGCCTCATGTTAGTTTCAAGCTGCCTGGCTGCCAGCCACCATCTTGGCTGGCAGTTAATTTGCATATTGCCCTGATTAGCCAATGGGAAGGGTAGCGGTCATACGCTAATTACCATGTTTCTCTTTTATTAGATAGGATGGTGCTGGCACGGAAAAAAAAAGGTGCTGGATTTTGTCAAATGCCTTTTCTGTATTTATTGATATTATCATGTGACTTTTATCCTTCATTTAGTTAATGTGGTATATCATATTTATTGATTTGAGAATATTGTACCAGCCTTGTGGACCTGGAGAGTAAGTATTATGCTAAGCAAAATAAGCCAGTCAGAGAAAGACAAGTATCACATGATCTCACTTATATGTGGAACTTAATGAACAAAATAAACTGATGAGCAAAATAGGCCCAGAGGCATGGAAACATGGAACATACTGATGGCTCTCAGAGGGAAGGGGAGGGTGGTGGTGAGATGAGATTAAACAAAGAATTTATATGCATATGTGCATAATCCATGGACACAGTGTGGTGACGGCCTGTGGTGGGGTGGGAACCTGGTGGAGGAAGGGAATGGGAAGGAAATGATGGACATCTGTAATACCCTCAAGAATAAAGATAAATAAATGTAAAAATTAAAATATTTAAAGAAAGATTAAAAGCACATTTCTTCATTCTATTTTCTATTTATTGAATTAATTTTTAAATTAAATATATTGGGGTGACATTTGTCAGTAAGATTATGTAGGTTTCAAGTGTACATTTCTATGATACATGATCTACATTTTGCATTGTGTTCCCATCACCCAAAGTCAAATCATATTCTGTCACTATGTCTTTGGGCACCTTTACTCTTTACTACTCCCTAGATTTGTTTTTAAATAGGAAAGTATTCTGCAGAATTTTAAAACATATTTTGACATCAGGAGCTATACCTCTTATCCTCTCTCCATATAATGCCTTTTATGGAATAAACAGTAAATAATTGCTGAGTGATGTAAAGTCATATTAAACATAGGATTCCAAGAAGTGAATTAAGCATATTGATCTCAGCTTACTATTATTTTCAATCGTATGTTTCTTATTAATGTAAAAATTTATTAAATTCACATTATGGGACAACTTGACGGCAATATCTCCAGTAATATTCATTGAATAAATTCATTTAAAAAATTTACTTCTTAAGAGTGTGAAGCTTGTAAATACATAAATTTCAAGGCTCCGTCTGTTATTTAGACAGCCTTTTAAATGGAAAAATTGCATTTGTTGTCTGAAATATTTTGGATGCAATAAACTGAAAAAAAAAAATCAGCCCTAGCCAGTTTGGCTCAGTGGATAGAGCGTCGGCCTGTGGACTCAAGGGTCCCAGGTTTGATTCTGGTCAAAGGTACGTACTTTGGTTGCAGGCACGTCCCCAGTGGGGAGTGTGCAGGAGGCAGCTGATCAATGTTTCTCTCTCATCAATATTTCTAACTCTCTATCCCTCTCCCTTCCTCTCTGTAAAAAAATCAATAGAATATATTTTTTAAAAAATCTGTTGATTACTAAATGCCTTTCCTTTTTCTCCTAGTGGAACGAAACTGTTGAGCTTTTTCGCTCTAGGATGCCTTTACGGAAACATCGTTGTCGGTTCAAAAGTTACGAACATTGCTTCACAGCGGCTGAAGCTGTGGACTGGCTACATGACCTGCTGAGGTACAATCAGAACTTTGGCCCTGAAGTGACCCGCAAACAGACGGTGCAGCTGCTAAAAAAATTCCTGAAGAATCATGTTATCGAAGATATCAAGGGCAAATGGGGTCAGGAAGATTTTGAAGACAATGGTCACTTGTACAGGTAACAGCAACCGGTAAACTCTGAAGGGGAGGAGTATGGGGAGGATGAACGGATCTGTCCGAGTCAGAAACTTCCTTATGTGAAAGAATTTACTTTGTCCCTTGGAGGGATGCTTCTCCTGTGGTTTGTTGAGTGGAGAACTCGATGTGTTGTTTCAATAAAACTGATTGCAGTGTAAATGACTCCATAGAGCACCCCATAGCAGTCCTTTGTTGCAGTGACTTTTCAGTAAGGAATCTTTTCATGCCTTTTGCACACCTGCAAGGATGGCTACCATAGCTTAGTATTTGTCCTAGGGGGTCTGAAAAGGTTAAGCAGTAGCTCTGGGTTAGCCTTTGTGAACAATGAGAAGGTGCATATTCAAGGGAGCTAGTGGCAGAGTGGGTCTGATCATTAAGCAGAACTCAGGGCTCATGTGAAGAATTATACTAGAATTCCCTGATGTCTCAGATTAACCTTGGCAGTGCATGTCTGCTTTTCCTCAAACATTTTTCCTTGTTTCAGTGCTTTCTTTCTTTTTTAAATATATTTTTATTGATTTCAGAGAGGAAGTGGGGGAGGGAGAGAGAAAGAGAGAGAGAGAAGGAGAGAAATATCAATGATGAGAGAGAATCATTGATCCCCTGCTCCTGCATGCCCCCTACTGAGGATCAAGCCCACAACCTGGGCATGTGCCCTTAACCGGAATTGAACCTGGGACCCTTCAGTCCACAGGCTGACGCTCTATCCACTGAGCCAAAACGGCTAGGGCTTTCAGTGCTTTCTTATGATTAGACATACTACCAGATAATCTCTCTGCTTCTACTTCCATGCCCACTACTTACTAGGCTGTTATTGCTGGGTGTGGAAGGGCCCTACCTAAGATTCAGGGAAAGGGAGAAGACTAAAGAGGGAATGAAGTCACACTAGTTCAGAAAAGAATTGTTGAATTATCTACAGAGAGGCTTACCAAAGTGCTAAGAAACTGAGGGATTTAAAAAAATGGAGAATATGGATTCTTAATTGCTTTATTTTACAACATCAAAATAAGGAATTGATTCTCCATCTATTTGCAAATCTAATCTTCCTCTGCCTCCTAATCTCCCTTGTCTGCTTTCATTATAATTTGGCTGTAGTGCTGTTCAACTGCAAGCAGCACTGGAAATGGAGCAGTTAGGGCAGCCTGCCCCAGAAAACTAAGGAATCCTCTTACAATACATTTATTGAGGACACTTGGAGGCCACTGGGACACCTAGCTTGAGTAGAGAAAACCTGATTTTTTCAAACCTCAACAATTTCTTTGGCTTCTTCAAGACTAGCTACTGAGAAAGGCTGACGAGCAAGGAGAGGGTGCCAAGGCCAAGACCAGACGTTGCTATTTGTTTAGAATCTAATTTCCTCACAGAGTTTCATCAGCAATCTTCAGCTTCTAGATACCAAGTTGTCATCTGGGCAATTAGTTGTTTCTCCACTTGGCAGTTATTTCTGACTTGCTGATCCAACTTTTAATTAGAATTGTGCGTAATGTTAGCCTGTTCTGCGATCATAGTGCTTATTAGCATCAACTCTAGTCCTGGTTCCACATGCTGCACTTCATTGGGGATTCTTCAGTGATTATTTTTCTTGGGAAACTCTAATTGCTTGTACCCCATCAATATTTAGCCAGCACACTGCTACAAGCTTCTCTGGATGAGCAACTCCCAATCTGTTCTATTGTCACCCTACATTGGGCACCTCTCATTGAGTTCCATGAGGCACTGAGAGTCATCAGAACTGTAAAATGGGATCGTGCTCTAGGAGCTGGCCACCCAGCACTGACTGTGAGGGCATGTTCCCTTCAATATGAAGACTTCCCCATGTTTTCCCTTTAAAAAACAGTGTGCATGGATTAAATTTGTTCATGAAATAATGATCCAGTTTTTCTTACAGAATATTTGAGTCATAAGGGAGCAGTATTTTCTTTCATTATTTACCACTTGAATACTCACAATCTTCCCTTTTCCTGAGTGGAAGTTCTGTAAGTGAAGCCCTGATGTTTGATGTTCTCAGGTTAATCTGGGATGAAATCTGTGTAGACATGTACTAGTAAGTCACTTGTTAAGGAGCACATGCCTTGACTGGAGAGTAAGCTACTGAGTGTGGAGGCAGCTGTTGCATGCATACAGCTTCTGGGACCAGTGCTCAGGATCATCACCATTACATGCTCGTGCTCCAGGAAGAGTAGGGCAGACTGCCCTACCTGCCCCATTTCCAATGCTCGTGGTTGAACAGCACTGCAGCCAAAGTATAATGAAAGCAGACAAGGGAGATTAGGAGCTAGAGGAAGATTAGATTTGAGAATAGATGGAGAGTCAATAAGGTGAAGAAATTCCAGAACATGATTCTAAATATCAGGCTTTATGGAAAAGGAGCCTTTATAAGTTGTATGAAAAGGCTGGCATGTGGCTGGCATGTGCAGCTGAGAGATCTTGCTGGGAAAAAAGGAATGAAAATTATAGAGCACCTATGATGTGTCAGACTTGTTGCATAATTGTTTATAATAATCAGAAGAGATGTTGCAGAGAAGTGCCCAGAGTTATTTCCTGTTACGAGTACTGGTGACTAGAAAGGTTCTGGATTTGCTTCTAGTGAGGACAATTTTAAATTTCACCACAGGGTCGGGTCCCCAGAGTTGAGTCAGATGCTGTCATCGGTGCCGTAACAAAACTTCATGGCCCTAGTTTTCTGCTGAGGAGAGCCAGTTACACTACCTTGAATTTTTATAAGAAATTTTAACTTTTGAAGCAGTTTCCCTTCCGTGATCTCATTTGATCTTCATGACATCCCTGTAAGGTGGACAAGGTGGGTATTTCATCCTCAGAAAACCAGACACTTTTTTCTTTGAATTATCTAAATAAAATACCAGGAATGTTCTAGTTAAAGAAATTTCATACTGATCATGGAATCTCCCCCTGTTTGTATGTGAACAGACTATTATGTTGGACTAGATGCCCAGTGCACAAAATTCGTGAACGGGTACAGTCCCTAGGCCTGGCCGGCGATTGAAGCGTGAGCATCTGGCATGGAAGGGCAGGTCTCAGCTGACCTCTGGGCCCTGGGCAGCACATGGGCCCTTGGCCCCCCGTGCACCCTCCTCTGCCTGAGTCATGGTGCCCGAGTCCCCATGGAGATGCGGTGAGCACAGCTGGATGCCATGGGCTGGGGTGCAGAGTGGGCCTCTCGGTTGCCCAGCGGTGCCATACAGAAGCTGGGCGGGCAGCGCACCCACTCCCAGCCAGCCTTACAGATCAGCTCCTGCCCGAACACACAGAAGCATGGGGGCTTCCCTGGTGCACGAGCCCTGGCGTCTGGGAGAGGGTGGCAGGGGGAGTGAGAGCAAGCTCGGTGGATTCTCACCGCACCTCTGTCTCCGTCTCCGTCATCCCTGCCTCCTGGTAGCTGGTGAGAGGTCATGGCCCCCTGCCTGGGCGCCGCAGGAGGTTGGTTGCCGCCACCCACCCTCATTCCCCGTCCTAGCCCGGGGCTTGTCCCCATTGGCAATCAGGGTCTGCTAGCCACTGGTTGCAGTTCTAGGGCAATCAATTGGGGCTGGGCCCCCTCTCTCCCCCCGCCCAGCTCCCTCAGTGCCTGGGAGCTGGGTGGCAGCCCCGTCCCCTGCCGCTGCCACTGGTCACTATCAGTGGGGTGATCATTCCCCTGCTCGCACCTGCCTTAGCCTGGTGCCGCCCACTCACCTGCTCCACCATCCCGCCACGGTCCTGCTCTCATTGGGGCCCACTGGGGCCAGCAGTGCCTCCACTGCCACTCACTGCCAGCGTCGCATTGCTGACGCCCACTATGTTCTGCTCTTCCCCCCTGGTGGTCAGCACATGTCACAGCGAGTGGTCGATCTCATGGTTGGACTCCCTGTCGAACTCCCGGTCGAGGGAACAATTTGCACATTAGGCTTTTATTATATAGGATTATTTAAACTTAATATAATGGGTTATATAAAAATACAAGTATGTAATATGATAGTTGATTGTTCTGGGCCATTTAATAAGGAAAGTGTTTGGCTTAGTATAGATCTTTAGCAGGATGGAGTACGGGGTCTGGAGCCTATACCTGGCCTTTGACCTGCTCTCACTACTAATGCTGGCTTCGTGAGTACTCAGAACCCAGAAGGTGTTCATGGTTTACAGAGGGCATTCACTTGCTCTACTGTAGTGGTTTTGGGCTAATGTGTAGGGAGCCATTTTCTTTTTATTCTCCTACCTCTCTCTGTTCCTCTTTTTCTCTTCCCATCTCTTCATGTGTTCCTCTCATCCTCCTTTCTTTTTCCTTTTTGTTTTCTCCTACTTCATTTTTTCGCCTTCTTTCTGTTCCTTTCCCTCATATTTGCATTTTTTCTGGCCTATTTCCAAAATACTGATTCTAATTTGAAACTAAAAATTTTTATGTAGATGCTGTCAACTTTGTTGAATACTGTTACTTTCACAGTTCTTAATTAAAAAGCAATAACAAAGGAATCATGCTACCCAGTTTTAAGACCTACTGTATATAAAGCCACAGAATGAGGACTGTGGTGTTGTGAAGAGATAGACATAGGTTAGTGGAACAGAAGAGTCCAGAGACACACACAAATATGGCCAAGTGATTTTTGACAAAGGTGTAAAAATAATTTAAATGAAAAAGAGTAGTCTTTTCAGTAACTGGTGTTGGAGTACTTGGATATCTAGCCTCTATATGCAAGAAAATGAGTCTCAACCTAAATCTCAGACTTTACACAAAAAATTCAAAATGAATCATAGATTTAAATGTAAAACTACAAAAGTTTTAATTAAACAGGAGATCTTTATGCCCTTTATGTTCTTGAACATGATATCAAAAGTGTGATTCATAAAAGAAAACATGATAAATTGGACTTCATCAAAATTAAAATCTTTTGCTCTATTAAAGATACCAATAAGGATCAGAAGACAAGCTACAGATGGGGAGAAAATATTTGCAAGCTACATAAATAACAATGGACTGGTATCCTATACTAATAAAAGACAAACATGCAAATTGACTGTACTTTCACTATGCCTTAAGCCACACCCACCAGCCAATCAGAGCGACCAATGCAAATTAACCCAACCAAGATGGTGGCCGGCAGCCACAGAGCTGGAGCGAGCAGGCGGCTTGCTTACTCCAGTGATGGAGGAAGCCAAGGTTCCCCGCTTGCCGAGGCCAGCTCTGAGCTCCACTGAAAGCAGCAAAGTTTTAAT